GCTATATAATCGAATACGAGCCTTGTTGTGGCAAAAATTTGTTATAAGTAATACGCTAATATATGAAGATATATTTTGGTCTTTAGTAAATCGCTTTTCGATAGAGAGAGATTTTGCAGCGATAACACGGTTGATTTCAGTAAGCATTGTCAATAAATTTCATATCATTTCTCGTTAGGCTTTCAACGTTGCTTAAGAAGTTAAGTTTTAGTTAACGTTAATGTTTTTAAAATTTTTAATGTAGATTTCAAACTTTTGCAAACTATCAAAAAAAAAAATTTTTTTAACCAGTTTTAATAGAATTTATGTTTGAACTGTACGTGAAAGCGTCATTTTTGAATTTTCATGGGCGGCCTTTGCTCTCTTCTTTTTTCTTCTTTCTTTTAATATTTTCAATTACATTGAAACGAGTGGTTGTAAGCGCTTTCCCTCTTTCTTTCTTTCTGCTCTTTCTCCTGATCGTATACCGTGCTCTCACATCCTTTAATGAGAGGCCATTTAAAAAAGTGGAAAAATTTAATTTAAGATAACGAAAGAAGGAAAATTTTGAACAATGCACAGGTAAAAATCAGGACATTTCCAGGCAGTAAATGAATAGGCTATAGTTGGGCTATTAACAATTCCAGACAACATGGGCTCGCACAATTCTTCAGCTATACCTTGTTGTGTGTCATGAGAACCTTATAATGGGAAGTGAAGGAAAAAGGAACTATGTTGATCACAATACATTGTTGTCACCATTTTGTACCAGCTTTCCTCATAACATTTCATAAATAAGACCTTGTTGCTCTATAAACGCCTAATTTTTCTAAGAAAATGATATGGGAGAGGGAACACAAAGTTGTTCTATTCTATACAAAAATTTTTCTCATTCACTTCTTATGCCAAAAAATCAATTTTCACAAGCTTTTGTTGAAAAACATGGGAAACACTTTTATGCGTGTACCTCCTCAAGGTAGATCTTTGTGTATGCGGAAATCCCCCTTTCACTGAAATATGCCCGCAAACCAAACTGAATTAAAGTATTGTAAAAATTTCGTCTTTTAGCTTGAAGATAAACGTATTCGTAGAGAGGCAGTAACGACACACCAATGAATTCTTAAAGCAATTAATTATTGAATTTTTAGTTTTGAACACAATCTAACAATAATGTGCATACTTTCTGAATATCTAAATCTTTTCTCGATTCGAATGGACGTTGTTGATTTTACCAATCTAAGAGACATTATGAAAGAATTTTTTATTTTTTGCGTCATAAACAAAGCTGTTAGTCTTAGTTTTTCACCGTTTAGTCTAAGAATTTATTTCATTAGACGGTAAGTAAATTACAAGAACAACAAGGGAAACTATTTGATAGAAAACAAGAAAATACACACCGCTGCGCTAATGCATAATAAACCATTCACTTGCATGCCGTAAGCAGCATTTGTTTTGACAATAGGAAGAAAAAAGAAATGCATTGTCACTATGATAAATTATTACTAAGATAATTTTCGAATCTCTAAGGTACAGTAAAGGGTCTTTCAAACTGATCACTACAGATATTTAACGTGAATCAATCTTTTCACTTAGCATTATAGTTTATGGCAATTATTAGTCAAGAATTATGAATATATTTCTTAATTTCTTTCAATGGTAAGAGAAGCAATACTCTATAAAACTGCAGAATGGACATTCGAACGCCGATGATGACTCTTTTTCAAAGTAAAATGCGTGTTTCTAATAATTTGATAAAGTCAGAAAAAACTTGTTTCTAAATGGAAAAGAATAGCTTGAAAGCACTTTCAGATGTAAACGCTTGACATCAGTTTGGTCTGGATGCTAAAGATATCTAAATGCAATGTTTTATGCATGTGTGTATGTTGAAAGTCTTTTTGTTCAAAAAGAATTTCGATGAAAGTAACACGTGAGCGGTCGATTTAAGACTTTCTCCTTCTTCTTCAATCTACGTAGGGTTGATTGAATCAGACCTAAACTTATAATGGACTATGTTATTAATATATTAAGAAGATATCAAAAGCTCGAACTACATCTTTTCCAAGATCATAAACTAAAATTTGAAAATTGTGGATTGGCTGCCCAAAAATAATGCATATATATGTCATATGGGTATGTACATATATTTCGTTTTAGAAAATTTAGTAAACAAGTATTTCAATAAAATTTATACATATATGCATAGGTATGTGATTATGCAAATAAATGCTTGCGACTATATATGCGCATACGAAAGCTTATAAAATAATTATTTTGCACTTTTAAATTTGATATGAAAACAATGCCAAATATTTTTATGCACTAATGTCGCCATTTAATCGTCCATTAGAGTGGCATTCTCACTAACTTTTCTTTTTAATTATTTATTGTTTATCAAAATTTTTGGCTCATATAATTATAAATTAAAAGAAATAATTAAATTTTATTCGGTTTATGTTGTTTCGTCTTTAAAGCAAAATAATATATACATATATATATATATATATATATATATTTTATATAAAAATTTAACTCATTTATATATTGTAAGAATGCAGGCACATACATATATGTATATGCTTAGACGTATAAAAGATTCACATCGGATTGACAAGTTTCTCAACCGGAAGAAATATATTTAATGGTTCATAAATTTTAAATTATTCTCATTCAATTCTTTAATTTTAATTATTTACGAGGCGCCCATTACCTAACTTCTAATAATTGTCAATCCTTTCATTAAGTTATAACTAAAAGTGTGCTTTACATCTAATATTAATTATTAGCTAAAGTCCAACTTCTTGCTCTTTAGATAAGTAAGGTTTTCCCCCTTTAAAAATGTCTGTTTTGATTGCATTTGAAAAAGGACGAAATCACCAAACATGCAACTTACCTGAATTAAAAAATAAGAGCAATCAATATCGCTCGCTTTCAAACTCGACATTTGGAAAATATTAATATTGGACAGATAAACTATGAATGACCAATTGTCTAAATTACTTTGGAGTTACACTGACCCAACCCGTATACATTATGGTCATTACTACTATCGGTTTTCGTTAAGGAATGCAAGCAAAGTGCCCACAGCCGGCCAGGGAGTATTAGGTATAGCGATAAATTCTTGTCGATTATTTGATCGGAGTATTAATAAATATTTCGTTCGAAGCATTGCAATCCATTGTATTGAATCCACTTGGTCTCTTGAGATTAGCTCCCAAATAAAAAACAAATTATTGGTGTAACTTCCTAAGCATAAATGTCATGTTCGGAGAGGCGATTGAAAAATTTTTTGCATACTATTCCGTTCCTCTGCTCAATTGCATCAAAAGACATCCTCATTTCCACTCCTCTCGGAAATAGAGATGACATTTACTTTCAAGTTTATCGCCGATGTTACTCTAGTTTATACAGTCGGCATCGTGATTACTATTGCTTAAATGTTAAGCTTTCACAGATCTTTCTTGCGAATTCAGCGGGAAGACTAACTCTGCTCGTTGCGCTTTTTTTTTTGTTATTTTTTCGCAAAAAACTCTTTAGAAAGATCTAACCTTCGAAAAATTATATTGTACACACCGTGGGGACTATAACACAAGCAAAAGCAATATAACGATAATTATCTTGCGAAAAGCGAGAAAATATTGCCCACGTACTAGTATTTGGAAGTATATTTCGCGATAGATAACACAACAACGTAGCTTCGTTTAGATATGTATGGGGAATCATTTAGATGAAGTAATTCGCGTCGTTGGGTGACCAAAGCGAAGAGCTCCGTCAAATCGATTGACTAAAATCCAATGGTTTAGCTGCTTCCTCAGCGGAAAAAGAACCTCCAAGCTCTTGGGCAGAGTCTACTTTTTAAACATATCAAAGATGTGTCCACTATCGGTATGACCAGAGTCGGAAGGTTGCTTATGCAGATTCCTCTCACCCCACATCAAAGTTTTCATTTCGCTTTGAAGACAATAAATGCAATCAAAGAAGAACTTAGGTAACACAATTTGTCCTTTTACAAATTCATACACTAAGCGCATTCAGCTTTAACACAAGACGCGTATAAGCAATAAAATTGGAAAACGTTGCTTCGAATTATAAACATCGAGAACCTATACGAAGTTGTGCTATTATTAAAGTTCTTCTGAAAAGGACACGAACTCCAGGATTTTTTTGCATGTAAGACAACTGAAGTCGTCTTTCTGTATAACCTAAAGTTATAATTACATACCCCTATGTACAAAGGTTATGAACAAAGCATGTCATACGTTATTGGCGGACGTTTCAAAAAATGTTGTTGCGCATTTTTAAGCTTCACTCTGTGGTTGTATTAGCAATTATTATATTAACATAAACGTTAAGCATTGCTTTTATTTTATAAAAGCCAACTAATAAAAAAACTAACAAAAAATCAATTAAAAAAAATATATAAAATTTGTTGCACTTTGATTCAATTGTACACATTACACAAACAGCTTAAGTGTTTTCTGTTTTTTTCATTAATAATTGTTATTAATTTCGGAAAATATGATTAAATTGAATTGAAAAAGAAGCGAAAGCATTATTGCAGTTAATCTATGTTAGTAAGCGATTCGATTTTGATAAATAAAAGTTTCTTTGTATTCGTGCTTAATGAAAAAGAGTTTCGTAGCGTAATTTGTTGTTGTTGTTGCTGTTTTTTTTCTTCGGTGTTTTTATTTATAATAGGATTAAAAAAAGTATTACATTTATTTATATATTCATTTGTTTTTTCTTTTGTCTCTTTTTTCATAAAGTTTTTTTTATAACTAACTTGTTAAACTGTTTGTGACGTTGTGTTTATTCTCTAAAGAAATTTTTTTGGAAAGCTTTCTTTGTAAGAAAAGGAAATTCTATAACTCTTATAAAATTCAGAATTTATTTCGTGTTTATGCTTAAGTTATTCTTTTCTTATAATAATTGCTAATAGATTCGTTGGCCACTTGGTTTCGATTGAAGGCTTTTCTTGAAAATTCCTAAAGAAAAATAAATTTGAAAAGAATTTTTTAAACTACCTTAATAGAGAAGCTGCCGTTCGGTATATCTTTGCCGCCAAATTTCACATTAATATCGTAGTCGCCGGGATCATTTAAAGCATAGAATACATCGAAGAAGCCATCTTTTTCAATTACATCGATATCGACAATTTCTCTGCAATTCATAATTTTACATTTTATTTATTTTCTTCTTTTCGTCGCGGTTCTCTTTTCTCTACGATTATTGCACAATTTATATATCACTTACTTGCCAGCTTTCGATGTTATTTTACACGTTACTGCTCCGTCGCCGGCATCGCGTGCATCTACTGTCAAATGACTTTTACTGCCCGATGGTTGTATTTTAGGAGCTTGTTCAACAAATTTACATTTTTTCGCTTCACCGATAGCAACAGCCTCCAATTTGAATGGTGAACCTTCAATTTCTTTACCTCCATATTTAACGGTAACGTAGTATGTTCCGCACTCGTCCGGTGTGAATGAGACCACATAAGTGCCGGTGTCAGTTTCGTGAAGATGTGGGACAATATGTTTACCTTTAGGATTTTTAATGTTCACATCGATATCCGCTTCACCTGCCTTTTTCGTATCCACTTCAAATTCAGCCGGTTTTGATGCGGGGGTCTTTTTCTTCTCATTTACTCCCTTCAATATGACTTTCGCGGGTTCGGCTTTGGGGAACACACTCATAACAAACGGACTTTTAATTCAAAAATAAAAAATTAATTTTGAAAGGTATCTTCGAAACTACGCTCATTTACCTGCATGGCACTTCAGTATCTGAAAATGTGATTGTGGAAGTCAGTACGGAACCTTCCTTGGGAGGTGAATAATGAACGCAATAGAGACCGTCGCTTTTCTGCTCCACACGCAAATTATCTAAAGGTTTGCCTTCGGAGTTTTGTATTTTTACGGCAATGCGTCCCGGACCGGCCTCGGACACATCGATATAAAAGTGAGTGGGCACATTTTCGCGTACTTCACCATGTTCTATACCAGGTCCATAGACTTTCACTTTCGCAGGATCGGAACGTTCCTCAACCACAACCGAGAACGGTGAACCGGGTATATGTTTGTCGGCAAAACGTATGGATACATCATATTCACCCACTTCAGTGGGTAAATATTCCACGTCACAACTGCCATCACGATTATCGACGCAAGTCATTTTCGCTTCTGATGGTCCTTCAATGGCTACCGAAAGACCACCTTTGCCGGCTCCTTTTGTTTCCACTGAGAATTTATTCTTTTCATTAACAAAGCCTCTATTCAAACCCGTCCCGTAGGCTTTGCAACGTGTTGGATCACAAGCACTGTTTACGTTGACTACAAATGGTGAACCCGGCACCGGAATGTTATCGTACAATAATTCAATAGTGTGACGGCCTGCCTCGAACGGAGTATACATAATCCGAAATACATCGTTACTGAGACCAGCCACAATTTCGCTTGGCAACACTTGACCTTTTGGATCGAAAATCGAACAAGAAAGTTTCTTCGCATCGATATCACTTCCAACTTTACTCATATCCACCATGAAATCGGTCGGCTTACTCATCACAACGCCTATAGGAGTTGAAAAGGAAGGCGGAAGTAGTGAAAATGTTTAATTACCGTTCAAAAAAACTTCAGAGAACAAAACACAACGAACATCGGCGAATTAGAAAATAGGCCGTGAATGGTTAAGAATTAATTATCAAAAACATTTCGCTATGCGCTATTAATATCGATGGCTACACGATACGCAATGTTTTGCGTTGTTCGGAAAGTCATTTCGTTTATTTTTTTTTGGGACAAAATGAGAGGCGATAAATATATTGTTATGAACGGTCAAATTCGATCAATTTAATTTGCCAGCGATCTTATGAATTGTTATTCGTCGTTTTGCATCACTTAAACCCTTTATTTTGCCTTCATTAGTTTCAACGGACCTTGTCGGAAAATTTTGTAAACGAGTTTTCGTAGTCGTCTTCGTCAACATATCTTCTTGATAGACATTTAATAATTTTTTTCTTGTTGTTGGATTTTGCTGCTTCTGACTCTCCATAGTTGCTAAGGCGCCGCACAAAATCTATTCCGCAGAAGCAAACAAAACAAGCCTCGCTATATTGATTGTGAAGATATATAAGGAAAATGCGACTCAAAAGTCAACTTGACTGTGAGAAAGTACAATTATACCCATTGTTGGTGGGGAAAAAGTGAAATGACTTTCCGAACAACCTAGTAATATTGTTAACAATTGCATTTACTCACAGGCTTATAAGATTGCTAAACAATATTAAGTTATCAAAGCCGTACGTATCATCGATATCTTTCTATTTTTACAATATAACGATATTTCATAAAACACAATTGCATGCTGGGCATATGGTTAGTTTAAAGCATAAAAGACTCATTGAGTGAATGGCTCTCAATGTTGACGCAATAGCGGGGAAGGTTTTGCAGCTGGAAAATTTACAAATGGCAAAAATTATACATATATATAATATGGAACCGTTCTAAGAAAGTAAAACTCCCTTAGGAAAGCAAAAATTTGTTATCGAAAGCTTTGTGCAATCCACGCGCATTGGCAATAATTATCACAAGACGCTGCGCTGCGATTCTTTTGTTCATGCTGGCTGTCTGCTAAGAATTTATTTGATATTATTAATGGAACCGGCTTGCAGCTACAATTGGAAGGTAGTTAATGCATGAACAACGGCATACATCAACAAAATAATTTTTAAAAGAGAATTATAACAGATATCATTGGATGGCTCTGGAGTAATAGCCTACCATGTGGCTGTATGCCGATGCCACTAACTCGTGTATTGTGGAGATTCGGCAAAGGTAATATAAACGGTTGGAATGGCGATCCCATAATATGGCAATCGTTGAATGTTATATTTACAGTGTAATCTCCAGATTCGGTTGGGAGATAGGCTACATTACAGGTTCCATCACCGTTATCGCGACAATTGATTGCTGCTTCACAGGGCCCCTCTACAGTGACACCCAAACCGCCCTGACCGGCTCCCCTTGTATCGATCATGAATTCAGCCGGCTGGCCGACTAAACCTCTTTCTAATCCCGGACCAAAGGCACGCACTTTAGTGGAATCTCCAACTCCCAAACATTGTAAGCGGAAAGGCCTCGGTGTAATTGGTGTACCGCCAAAACAAATGCTCAGTAAATATTCGCCTAATTGCGTGGGAGTAAAATTCACCAAAAATCCTTCGGCTGTAGGTATAACGTGCGCTTTAATACGACTGCCTGAAGGACTAGTGATGGCAACAGTCAAATTCGCCTTAGGTAGACCATGTGTGATGACGCGAAACTGCTGGAGACTATTCAATGGTGCAGCTTGTACGTGAATGAGTTTGTAACGAAAGTTTTTGGGCTTAGATGATGACCTTGTATAGTTTTGTATGTTTCTTTGCATGTTTTTTGTTTACAAAACGCTTGACAAACATTATGCGTTTATTTTTTATTTTTTTATTAATTTTATTTATTTAATTATTTTTTAAAATGATATTTGTATATATGAGAAAGGACTGGAATGAGTGCATTTAAAAGCTTCAGATGTAAATACTTACTTGGTTCAAGGCCATCTACTTTAATTTTGGACACGTCGATTTGCGATTCAACCAAAACTTTTTGACCGATAGGAACACGTTGATCGCCATAAGTCATTGTAGTAGTGTAGGCGCCTTTGCAGGGCGGTATTACTTCGACAGTATAGGTTTGATCTTCGTTATCAATGACGCGACAGGGTAGCTCAACTTTAGTCTCGTCGTGAACAATTTTAACTTTCAATTCAGCTTCGCCAGCGTCACGGCAATCCACATTGAAGTGTGTGGCAACGTTGGGACGTACGCCCGGCTGCAACCAAGGACCAAACGACTGAACTTTATTGGCGTTAACCGGAACACCAACATTGACTCTGTGGGGCGAATTTGACGCAGCCACACCACCATAATTAACTGTAAAAGAAATGATTAAAAATTCTTAGAAATATCTTCCCCGTTTTCATTTTAAGCTTACCTTCTACCATATGCGGCACATTCGAAGTAGGTGTGTAGGTGCATTTATATGTTTTATCTGGTTGTGGTTTGATCTCAACGGGTATTCTATCGCCGTGGTTGTCTTCGACAATAATATCTAGTGGCGCTGATCCTGCCTTGCTCGTATCAACGGTGAAATGGGTTGGTTCTCCCAGAGTGACACCGGTTTTTTCTAAACCTGGACCATACGCTTTAACGTGTTCGGGATGGTAATCTGTGCGTGGTAGAATTTGAGCAATATAGGGCGATTTGGGAATGTCTTCTTCATCGCATAGAATATGCACCGAGTATTCCCCGGTAGCTGTAGGATGATATTTCACTAAAGCAGAGCCGTCACCGTTGTCGTGACACTCGATTTCTGCTTGAGATGGACCAGCCACCGTGAAGCCCAATGCGCCAGTTTCACCATTAGTTTCTACAACAAAAGCAGCTGGATAACCAACAACTCCACCCCGCAAACCTGGTCCGAAAGCGACAATGTTAGAGTCTTTTTGGGGGCCTACTTTCACTTCGAGCGGTGATTTGTTAATTTCTTGACCAGCGAAAGTAACAACAGCTACATAACGGCCTTCTTTCATAGGAAAATAATGACATTCGTATGTATGAGCATCTAATTTTGTTAAAACGACATTTTCGTTCATGCCGCCCGGTCCAACAATTCGCACTTCAGGCATGCCTTCTCCAGCGCCTTCAGTATATATCTTGAAATCCGCATCATCGCCTACTCTGACGCCGTTAGGTTGTAAGCCTCTCCCTGAGGCTTTTACTTTACGGACATCCGATAAGGGCGCTATCTTTACCGGGAAGGGGCTACCCGGTACAGGTGTGCCAGCATAAAAAACGTTAACTGAATGAAGGCCGGTCAAAGCAGAAACATATTCACAACGCCACACATCATTTTCAATTTGACGCACTTTAGCGGCTACGGAAGTCTTATGATTGGCAGGATCAATGATAATAACTTCTGGTACACCTTTTCCAGCATCTTTGGTCAGAATGTCAAAGAAAGTCGGCTTACTGACTACTACACCCATTGGCTGGACACCGGGGCCTGTAACTTTAACTTTAGATGCATCGCCGGCATGACCTTCTACCTTAACATAAAAGGGACTTTTTGGTATGTCACGCCCCGAAAATTTGACAAACACTTTGTGTTCACCCTCCAATTTGGGAATGTACGAGACAGAATAGGTAAGATTTTTGTCGTTGTTAAAACGTACATCAGCTTTTTCAATTAAGCCATCGGGCGATACAATGTCAACATCGACAAGTCCTTTAAAAAATTAAAGGAAATTAAAAAATTTTATTCGTAATTTTTAAAATTAATTTCTCTTCTTTACCTTTGCCCGCCGAAAAAGTTTCAACGGTGAAATTAGCTGGAGCTCCTACCACCGGACCGACTGGTTCAATACCCGGACCGTAGGCGCGTACTCTTTTAGTTAAAATAAAAAATGAAATAAAGTTTAATTAAAGAAATAAAAAATTTCATTTCATAAATTAAATTAAAAGCTTGCAGAAGGCGAAAGAAGATAGAATTTTTTGATGCTGCAATAGGATAGGAAGCCATTTAAGAGCATTTCCGTTAGCTTGATTGTGTTTTAACAAAATCTAAGCAAACGCAAAAAAAAAAAAAAATTTCAACTTTTCCAAAAAAAGTAGTTGTAATGCGGTCGAGTTAATGTTTTATTCTGATGCAAGGACTTCATTATCATTATCTCAATGCGCCCACTTCGATCCCGCGTACATAGTTCAAAACTAAACACTTTTGTAATCAGTTCATTGTATTGCTACAATTGATCGGTCGATATTGAAAACGTTCAAGACATTTTCGTCCCGTCCGAAGCGTGACATACAAAAATATAAGATTGTTTAAACTTTTCATCTGTGTTAGTTAATTAATTTTGCCGCTAACAATTTCTCTTTCCCAACAAGCACAATGAAAGAATGAATTTCGATTGATCTGTAGTTGCTGGTAGTTAAAAAGTGGCAATAATTTTAAAAAAGGAAAGTTACATGACCGTTGGACGACGAATCAAAGTTTTAATGATGATGCAAACTAAAGAATATTAAAAAACTGCAAACTTTTAACGAAAAGCTTAAAAAATTAATTATAAAATCAATAATAGTAAGCAAACAGAGGCAATTGAAGCATTCTAGACTTACCGCGGCGGAGGAATGCTGAGAATTTCATTATCATATATAGTTTTGAATATTTTTACGAGTTGATACGCGGTAGGTTTTGCGATAACAAAAATTTTTTTTTAATTTTATATTTTGGGTTGAGGTATTCGCAAATTTACGATTGTCGGCAAATTAATAAACATCATAAGAGACAAGAGATGTAAAACAAAAATCCCATAGATTTGAAAAGGGTTAAAAAAAAGTAGAAAATTTAAAGAGAGAGAGAGAGAGAGAGAGAGAGAGGGAGAGGGAGAGAGAGAGGGAAATAAAAAGGACAAAAAATAATGTCGCGTAAACGGATTTCGGAAGGTGGAAAGGTACAGTCACAAAATGGAAAAAATAAATAAATAAATAATAATAAAAATGGAGAGAGAAAAAGAGAAAAGGGGAATCGAAGATAAAGAAATTAGAAAATTTACATTTCATACGAAGTTATATTTTAAAAAGATGCTTAAAACGTATGAACAGGCGACGAGCGGAAATGATTGACGATTAACGTGCACAAATGATCGTTAAACTAAATGGGTACTATATATTATTTTAATGTACCTATTGGGGTTTGTTTTGGGTCTTAATGGAGCACCAGCCTTCAACTTTGCATTAGGATATTGCGATAAATATGTCATCATAGATTGCTCATCAACGTTGGGATTAACCAATTCTTCTGGCTTGATGAGCTGTCTAACATTCAACCAATCGTCTGCTAAGCCCATAGCTTCTGAGGCGTTTTGAACAGCATCCTTGGGATCCCAGACTTCCCAATCAGGGCACAAGCCCGGAGCGCAAGCATCGACCAATGCACCTACGGCTCTACCAGTAGTCCAATCATTGGTAAAGTTATTAATCGGTAAATCTGGTATCTTAGTATGTATCCAATTCAATAATCTATGAAGAATGGAAAAGGAAAAGTTCTGTTAAGGAAAAATTGTGTGCGAAAATACTTTTCAACAATTTCAAGAAACCTTTGTTTGGGAGTTGAACCAGTGCCATTCAACTGATTTTCGTCTTCACCGTCCCACATTGGCATTGATATGGAATAATGTAAGATGAGAGTCCATATTAAGCCCAAAATCAACTTTAATTTACAGTCAACGATATCGGAAGAATCTAAAATTAAATTGGAAAGAAGGATGGAAAGTGGACAGATTAACAACCATTTGTTATATCTATTAAAATAATATTATTGACAATTATTCGGTCGTGACCAAATCTTTTATACCCATCGTCGTTATTCTAAAAATGGCTAAAAAAAGGGGGAAAACTCAATTTTCGTGCGGATGACTTTTCTGTTTTAGTTAGAAAGCAAAAAACAAACAGCAAAGCAGTTTACAGTTTTTGCTGTGTAGGGCGGGCCCTTGTTGCCCGCTTTGAGTCATTTTCAAATTCTTTTCCAAATTTATAGACGATATATATGATTTTTACAACAGACGCTACATAGTTGGGGCAGGGGAACCGTCGACATACTTAGGTGTATTCTGAATTGGAAATTGGCGAAGAATTCATATACCTTATGGGTTTTTTGAAGCTTTTTTTTTGCGCGTTATAAACTCGTTGAAAAAAACCAAATTTTGGCACATTATAATATTGGGTAAGTGTGGTCTATTTTTCCCATCTTTGTACAAGTAGCGCAGTACCACCCATAGAATATACGTTCAAATTTTTCCGGATTTATTTGATGTAGTTCTTGAATAATGAGTGAAACCATACACACTATTCTGTCCCTTTTGAAAAGCATAGGGGTTCTCAGTTTATATGGTACTGCGTGTCCTTCGACAGATTTGGCCCATTTTCAATACCAACCTGCGTATAAAAACTTGGAATGTTTTTCCTAAATTTGAAATTATTTCATTTATTAATATTTGTTTACAACAAACATTACACAAAGGGACAGACGAAAGCTCTTAAATTGATTCAGAATTTTATGCCGATTAAGAGTATGTATACTTTGTTTAGTACCTGAAACTTCTTTCTGGGCGTTGCAAATGTTTTGACAAAATGAATGCACCCCTCCATACTTCGGTGATGGGAAAAAAAATGAAAACTTTAGCGTCTAAGGACCACTTCATAGTACACTCCATTTAAAGCAATACAATTATCCCAATGCTTAACTCAGATTCTAGAAGGCTTTTCGAAGCAGTTCCTAAGAGGAGTTCGTCTTGGCCACTTTCATACGAATTTTCTTTGAGGCGCTTAGGCGGTAGTATTGACTCAATTTCTAGCTAACAGTTTGTTCACAAAAATTAGCTTTGAATGAAAACATGAAACTTGCAAGGAAAGTTTCATGTATATTGAGATTGTAGGCTGTCTTCTCTAGACTTAATTAGGGAAATTTCAGTAAGTTTGTTTTAGTGCTGTTAACGTTTTCTTCTGACAGTTATTTCCCTAAAATCTTAGAGAGATGTTGCATTTTGGGGATTTGCTTGAGACTTTCAGACAATGTGTTTCTGTTGTCGGCATTCTAACACATTTCAACCCATAATACTTGATAGTTAACTAAGATCTTGAATGAAGCTTCTTCTCTAATCTATTTAAAATCAAAAAGTGTGCTATAGGTTGACGGTAGGACCGGCATACCGAAAGGGGCGAAACTTGCTACGTTAGGTACTGAAGCGATTTATAATTTCCCTCCACCCTTAGGATTGTCCTTGGATATGATTGAGGTAATGGAAAAATTAGTGAATCATCGTACACACACCGGTAAGAGGTACGTACAATAATTCCGAGTCTGAGATATGCACTTAACAAACGCATAAATATTTTGTATGTATGTTATGCCCACTTATCATGACATTTACATTGCTTGCTTATATTTGCACACCTATGCGTTCATTTTGACGATCAAGTGAAAAAAAGAGACGGATGAAAATTCAGATGAATGCTTGCTTGCAAAACAATCGATGAGCTAAGGAATGTAAAAAGTCAACATTGCAAAGAGTGTCACACGAATGATATGACTGACACACAAAACGTTTTTTTTTTCTTTTTTTGTGTCTTCCTAACAATTTATGTTACACATACGCGTGCGTATAAATACATATTTTTAATCCACACATACTTGTATATACTACTATGAGTTACTCCTATAACGTTATTACTGCTGTTGATATTGAAAACAATCAATGTAAGAGAAGATCACTAAGAGACTTGTTTTGCTTGCTTCGCGATATGACAAACGCTTTGTTTTAAGTTTGGAATCAGACACACAAAACGCAAAAAAAAAAAAAAAAAAAAAAAAAACCAGTTAACAAATATAGCATTGTGAATATAAACAAACAAATAAATGAACCAACCATGTGACGACGACCAAATAAGAAGCAAATATTGTTTCGTTACTACCAAAAAAAGCCGGTATTGACGACAAGCATTAGCATTCAAGTTCATGGAAAAAATTTCGTCAAATATTTAGACATTAACAACAATCGAAAATAATAAATGCGTTATTTCGATTTCGGTTTAATATGTGAACGAGTTGTAAAAAAGCTTGAATTTGCTTACAGACGCATGCTTAACATTTTTATTTTTAAGCTTTCACTCTACCGAAAATTATGCATAGATGCAGAAAAAGTGGCGCTGTCACGTTCTCGATGCGCTCACTGGAGGTATACGAAAATATTTGCTTGAATTAATCGAAACAAATATTGTTGCAAGAAATTCCATACGATTTGATGTAAGAAGTGTTTGTTACTCGTGTACACGACTGCACTGGTAATTGGTTTTATTTTTATAGTCGCCCTAAGACGATTTCTCGATACCCGGTATCTCAAACATATTTTTGTTATCTCAGGAGGTTATTGTTTCCTGAGAAGCCATTTAGATGTATATGCTTTAATTTGTGTGTATATTTGCAATGGAAAGCAAAGGCTAATAGAATTATAGTGAAAGTTATTGACAGTCTTTCATTACACCTTACATCACCTGTGAAACATATGTTATAAATGTTATAAACCTGTTAATTAAGCTTGTGCGGGTGTGGGTACAACATTCAGAAGGACTTGGAATAGGCCCGCTCGATTTTGTATTTCAGAATGACTTGCTGAATCGATCTAAGCTTGTCTGTCCATCAGCCCACATATTCTTGCGTTCAATTCACAAGATGCAAATTTTTGAAACATTTTCATGACATTTTTTGTTTTGGTCCAGGGACGAAAGCCATTAAAAATGGTTTAGATCGGAACACTTTTTTGACCACTTAACGGTATTAAATGAACTGGTGCAGGGTATCTAATGGTTAAACCTGTCCCCAAACATATTGCTGAAGGTATCAGTTTCATTGTTTTATCGCCTTATCCATATGTCGTTAGAGACTATTTTCGTTTAAAATATTTACATGACTTGGGCTATCGGTTTCAATCGGGTTCTGCAATAAATTTGAGGTTATTTAGGAAAACTTTTGCAATGTTTGGTTTTTTTTCTAACTTTGAACTTTCGGTCGAGACACTCAGACAGACACACGTTACCAAATCGACTTCGAATTTCAAGCTAAGTTATTATAATGTAGTTCATGAAATCTTCAATACTTGCTTCTGGGTATAACGGTTCTTCTATGGTGCGTAACGTTACTGTCGTTGTTGCAACCTCTTGCTGCAAACTTTCTTATGCTTAACATGTTCGTGAAACATGATTTAAAAAAGGAAAACTTGATTTGTATTTCAAGATCAATTGTAATTCAATAATTGCATTAAAATCTAGAATTTCAAAATGTACACCTATGTACGTATATACATGTAAATCATCGATCGACCTTCTTTCCCAACATAAACGAGTTTTACAGATAATACGATGAATAACGAAATCAAATATTGAAAGTTGGGCAAACAAAAACAAAAAAGCAGTTAAGATATGTGTATCAATATAACTGAAAAAATCGTACGTACGTATAAGAATATGTATAACTAACTGGATTCGACAATAATAACGACAACTAATAAAATTAATGAAATTGATTTACTTAGAAAAAGATTATATGCTGCTCTCTACGACCGATCGCAACTTAAACAAGAGAGAAAGTTATACTTGCTTATAGCGGATTGAGTAAATTGGCTTCATTTAGATTCAAAATACTTGTCGCGGGTTTTACTTTTTCCTGGTGCAAACAAATGCAACTTCAAATTTTACATTTCAAAGTCTTCCGTCTATGGAGACTAAATACACTTACTGCCGCCAATTGTTATTGCAAGCTTTCTCTTTACTTCGACGCGGCATAGAAGGCAAGAGTCCTCTGAGAGGTTCGTTCATATTTTCAGTAACCCCATATTGTGCAGAGAATATAGTCTATAACCACGATTCCGTTCTGCAGTAAGGCCCCCTAAGTGGCTGGACATTCGTTCTTCCATTCTTAACTAATTACTAAACATTGTCGTTTAGTTTCTAATTAATGACGTACAAGAGTACGATGTAGTATTAAAATCGTTGATAAGCCAGCCATTCTACAGAAGATCCAAATGAAGTGAATAGATTCAAATTATTATTATTCTCTGGTGGTGAATATAAAAACTTGGTTGCTGTACTGTAAGCACTATGCTGTCTTTTATGCTGTAACTTTAACTTTCTCTCTACCTCTCCTAACCCCTACGTATCGTACTCACCGTATCTCTTTCTCTATTTTAAAATCTTTATTGATGATCATAACTAACACAATTGATAAATTTTGTGCTTAATTAATTGATTAATTTCCCAATCAATTGATAGCAACCGGCTAAACTTAATGTTTTACTATCTTTAGTTTAATTTAACCTTAAAGCAAAATAAGAAGAAAAGAAAGTCAACACTTTATGTTCATTTAATCAATTGTTTTATTCGAACAATGACTTAAACCGTTTTAACTGTTCGTTTGCTCATTGTAGGCAATTAATTGGGTGTGAGTTGATATCATTAGAAGAAATTCATACTAAATACAGAAAAACTTATAACAGTGAATGAAGCAGTAAACAGCTTTCTTAAATAGCATACCGCTTTCGGTTGCGACAGGCACAGCAAATGATTATAATTACGACTGTATTAAAATTGTTCAATTTATTGCTAATTTACTAACAGAAGGAAAACGAAGAACTGTTTTTAAACACCATACGAAAATCTATGATTGCAAGTATGGATATAATCAACGTATT